GCCTCACACGGTAGAAGAATAAACCATATGATCTGAGAATTGTTCGTTCCAGACCTTTTGCTTGCAGTTAAGTTAGGTGTCATCCCTGTGACCAAAAAGCATCCTGTTGACGTCAACTTTGCTGAACACATGCAGGATTTGAGCTACCCTTTCTCCTAGAGAGCTATAATCCCTAAATTGTTCATGCGTCAGTAGAAGTCGTCTGATAATCTTGCTGCTGCTCTTAGTAAATCAATGCTTTGGTAAAATTCCTTCTCACTGAACTTGTCTTGAGGATATGAGAATAAGATGTGCAGGACAAATCATTGCTCCTATCAGCTGCCCTGTCCCTCGCCATCCGTGTACTCAATCTGCTTTTGATAGCTGTTTTCTTGATAGTTGCTGGTCTCAAAAGGACCCTGTGGACACAGGTCAGTAGCTCGCTGTGGTGGATCGAGCATTGGAACTTTCTCTTTACAAAGAAAACACGTGTGGTAATTCAGTTTTATGTCAGACAAGCAGAGCGTCAGCGCCTGTTTTGTGTCCGTGCAGTTTCCAAGACTTGAGGGCAATGCTGTGACGTACCTGGGCTCTGCAGAGCTTTAGCAAAGAACCACCAGGAGGACCTTAGGGCTGAGAGGCCACATATGGAACAAGGAATCCCTTGCCAGTCTTCTTGTTAGAGCAAAAAGAGCTTTCGGAAGGCTGTTATGGAAGATTGCTTCATATGGGAACAGTTTGATGTGGGAAGACACAGACCCTATTTACACTCCAAACTGGTGCTGGTGATTTTTTGAAGGCAGGTCTGCCTGCTTGCTTATGCCATTACCATCTGCAGCTGCTCCGAGTGACTCCTCTAGTCTTCACTCTTTGTCCCTGCAGGGGAGCCTGTGAAAGCAGCTGCTGTGGGAAAGAGCAGGTGAGACCACGCTGACAGACACAGCTCGAGGGAAAAGTGGTGTAAAAGCTGCTCTGTGCCCATCACTCGTCTCGGGCAGCCTGTCTTCACAGCTCATGCCCTTTTCCATTTGCCCTAAAATTCCTCGATTCCTGGTTCCATCTAGGTGTCATGTGCAGCATTTCTGCATCTCTAGAGGATTTTACTTGGGACAGAGCTCTGACTCTGTTCTCTGCTGATAAATCTGAATTTGTCTGCCTGTAGCATGATACTCTCAGCCTTGTAAGTGGACACCTTGAGAAGCTGAACACGAGCAGACAATGTGCACTTGCAGCCCAGAAGGCCAATAACTGTATCCTGGGCTGCATCAAGAGAAGCGTGGCCAGCAGGTCGAGGGAGGTGATTCTGCCCCTCTCCTCCGCTCTTGTAAGGCCCCACCTGGAGTACTGTGTCCAGTTCTGGAGCCCCCATCACAAGAGAGACATGGAGCAGCTAGAACAAGTCCAGAGGAGGCCACCAAGATGATCGGAGGGCTGGAGCACCTCTCCTATGAGGACAGGCTGAGAGAGTTGGGGCTGTTCATCCTGGAGAAGAGAAGGCTCTGGGGAGATCTTATAGCGGCTTCCAGTACCTGAAGGGGGCCTACAAGAAAGCTGGGGAGGGACTTTTCATAAGGGCAGTTAATGAAAAGACAAGGGGAAATGACTTTAAGCTGAAAGAGGGGAGGTTTAGATTAGATATTAGGAAGAAGTTCTTCACTGTGAGGGTGGTGAGACCCTGGCACAGGTTGCCCAAGGAAGTTGTAGATGCCCCCTCCCTGGAAGTGTTTAAGGCCAGGCTGGATGAGGCTTTGAGCAACCTGGTCTAATGGAAGGTGTCCCTGCTGATGGCAGGGGGGTTGGAACTAGATGAACTTTAAGGTCCCTTCCAATCCAAACCATTCTATGATTCTGTGACAGTGACAGTGTGGACTATGAATTAAGCATTTTCTAACACAACCTTTTTGGTACCTACCTGGGGAAACTGTTACTCTAGCAGGAAAAAAATTTCAGCGTGTACAGCACTAGAGTGATCATGAAAAGCATTGCTGAGGACGAAGGTGGAAATGGATGTAATTATATTATGTGCTTTCTATGCTCTTTATCTACAAAATCTGCTCAAAATCTGCAACAGAGCATGGCAGCAAAATATCTCAAGCATTACACATTTTAGGTCTGTTATAAAGCAAAGCTCTTGAACAGATTTGCTTGGAGACACATAATTTGCCCCTCCTAATTTTAATGGAGTGTTGTTAACACCAAGACTTCAGAGGCACCATTTGCTTTCCAACATCTCTCACTGTGTCTCAGTTTTATCAGAAGCATCCAGATGAAATTCAAGTCCGTCGTCATTAGTGAAATGTGGGTGCTATGGAGGCAGAAACTGGGGGTTCAGAGACTTCCATCTGCCTGGGTCTTTCTGAAGCTCATTTCTTGCATATTCAAAATGAAGTGAGAGGAACAGACAGAGGCCATTCAGCTACCCATCTCAGACTTGAGTGGCCTTTACAGACTTTGGGAAGTCTTACTTTGGGAATCATTACCTTGGGCATGCCATTTGGGACTAGATCCACAAAAGCTTTCAACATAGGTGGAATTTGGAAAGAGATATCCAAAATAATAATCTTTCTCTTCCAACCATGCCTTCCAAGAAAGGAGCTACTCATTTATACCCAAAGGATGATGAATCTTAAACCCCAAGGTGCAAGGGAACATTGTCACTCTTCTTTTCCAGTGGCTGGGTTGAGCACCTTGTGATGTGATCTGCTGTGAAGCTCATTCCAAGGAATCTAAAGCACCTCCTCCTCTAGGAATTTGTGTCAGTTTTTTTATTTGGACTTTCTAATACAAGGGTGACAGCACTTCCCTGTCTCTCAGAAAAATAGAGAAGGTTAATATGACAACACACCGAGAAACAGTTGTGCTGCAGCTGTGTGAAGTACTCAGTACAGATTGGTCATCAGTGTTACAATTGCTATTGGCCTCCAAAGTATCCAGACCTGTTTATCTGGATATCAGAGCTTCTCCCTGATGTTTTCAAGGACATATGTCTAAGTTGCCAAACACTGCTCTGCAGTACATTGAGATCATGGATGGAATGTAAAATGAAGGATGAATCTTAAATGGATACTTGTACTGAAATAAATAAAATTAGTGTTACACTGTTGATTGTTATTGTTCACAATTAGCTGCATAAGAATCTCCTGGGTTTAATTTCATTTGTAGTTGCTGAGGTGGTGGTTGTTGCTCTAAAAGTCAGGTCGTATTCACAGAAATGGGAGAAACTTTGCTAAGGAATGTAGGACTCCAAAGAGCTGGGCCTCAATTTTAATATGATTGTTCAAATACTAACAGTGCTGCTGTTCTCTCACTCTACACAAGCCTTGCAGAGCACCTTCAGTTCTAGGAGGTCTGCAACTTCTGATGTGGTTGCTGAGCAGAAAGAAGGGTTGGAAGATTCACTTTAAAATTTGTCAGTTGTCATTGCTCTGGGATTTTTGGCCACTGATGTTGTGGGAAGGAGGCTGAAAAATTGTAGGAGAGTCCAGACTACGGAGACTGCATCATGTGTGACATGTTGCTGGAGGAGGTGTTGAGGTGGTAGATAGCAGAGCATCTGGCTGGCTTTGGAGAAGTGAAGGGAAGAAGTATCTGCTTTTTTCTGATCTCTCCATTTCTCAGTAGGTAAAGCTGGTGATGTGTAGTTACTCACATTCTCTGCTTTGTGTTCTTCCCTTGGCATCTGTGTAACATCTTTTTCAATCATCTGGACGAGGGGATCAAGTGCACCTTTAGTAAGTTTACAGACAGCAGCAATCTGGATGGAAGTGTTGATGTGCTTGAGGGCAGGGAGGCTTTGCAGAGGGACCTCACCAGACTAGGTCAGTGGGCCAGGACCAGTTGCATGAGTTTCAATA